CAACAATGCTTGCAATTCGCTGTCTTCAAACTTTTTCGGTGGTTTTCCACGTTCTTCGTTTCTCACGTCAAAATCGCCACTTTTGAATTTTTTAAACTTCTCAAAGCACTGTGATTTACCAAGAGCATGCTCACCGTAAGCTTCGACAAGCATTCGATGCGATTCTGCAGCAATTTTCTTCAAATGGTAACATAAAATCAATGCTGTCCGCAAATCGCAGTTTCCAGGCACAAAATTCGACATGTTCAACGCTATTACAAACTATACTGTTGTATGAAACTTGTATTGTTGTGAGTTGAAAATCTTTGTCAAATGTCAGAACAAGGAAATGGCGTCAATGACGCGGTCTGACGGCAACTACATTGACAGCTACGGCCATCTATTGGTAAATTCCGGTTTCATACCTAGTATAAGGTAGTCAAGGAGCTCGTCTTCAGCGATCGGCACTCGGTTTGCAAGAATAACTTTCTCATGATAATATTCACAAAATGGTTCGTCCATTTTTCACATACGGGCTTCAAATTCCTTCCGAAGTGCTAATTTACCGGGTCGCAAATCAAACAGTTGTTCAATTTCTTGTAATAAATCCTCGATGCTCAATGTCAGATATTCCGCTTTTGAATAAAACCATGTGAGCGCTCGCCCTTTCAATCTTGAGCTCATTAGAATCCTGGTAGAACTGTCGTCCAGCTGATACGAATTCCTCAGCAATTCTAATTGATTCTTCCATCTCCAGAACGTGTTTCCAGTTGCATCGAACTCTGGAGATCCTTAATGTTGCGGACACCGCCAATCATTGATGAGACGCCACTCGTCCTCGAATCACTTCGCGTCATTTCACGTTCTCGTCGCAGTAACTGCTGCTCTCTCACCAGTGACTCTCTCTCTCTTTTTGTATTAATTCCAACTCACGTTGTGAATGATCATCAGGTTCTTCTGGTAACAACGGTAGCGATCTTGATCCTCCTTCCGGAACAAGAGTATTGTCTACCGGACTCGTTGACTCGTCCGTCGTTTCCACTGCAGTATCCGTACTCGACGCGTTTCCTGTCAGCGCCTGCCTCCGTTTCTCGCCCAGAATCGTCCAAATATTCGGATCTACGACACTCAATCGTAATACCAGCTCTGTTTTGGTCCCTGTCGTGAACAATCCTCTCTCGCGAAGAGCATCTTTCAGCTCATGCACAGTAAAGTCGTTTCCTTCCAATGGTTTCATTGTGACTCGTGGTGCTCACAGGACCGACGAAGGACGGCGATAACAACAGTGCTCACACACAACAATAACGATCCGCCAGTACTTCGGAAATGCGTTCACTCACCGCAAATTATCCGCACGTAACTCTCACAGAGTATACCGTACTCGTCGTTTATTGTCAAATATCGCGCTCGTGTCCCCTCTCAATTCGCGCAGTGAGAATTTTACTTCACACGACGCTCGCTAATAGTTCGCCGCACGACTGATCTCTTTTCTTCACCGGAAAACGATCGTTCACATCAATCCCACTTCTGAAGAAACTGTAGGTTAGTGGATACAGTTGTTTATTCGTTTCGAGACTTTTTCAGACTGACTCCCGAATCCGCGTTCCCTCTACCTGCTCACTCCGCGTGGAAGGATATCGGGAGCCTACCATACCAATAATACGCTATCACGCGACTTCTCGCGCCCAATCATTTTCACGGGAAATCCTGCGGCCGTTACCGAAGCTTCGGAAATCTTCCGCTCGTCTCTACCTACTCTCCTCTTTCTTTCTATTAGGCAACGGACAGGCACAATCTTGCAAGCCGAGGATCTTAAATTTAATTCGTGGAAATACGCCTACACTATCGAAAATCGATATTTAAAAAAAATCTACATATCGTAAGTTTACCATTAATAAACAAAATTTTATTATTTAAACAATATAAAATAATAAATAAAGGGTTGTACATGTATAAATATTATTATAGTATACACTCGTCAACAAAATTAACGCATAGATAAATTTATATCAAAATATCGCATAAGTTCAAATAAGCGTAACTCCGCGAAAAATGGTCGTATTTAAAAGTTTTTTTTTCATTCTCAAGGGTAAAGTCTATAATTTACGAACCTTTAAATGGATTTTGAATCTACCCTTACCCCTTTCTGGCGTTTCTTAAAAAATAAGAACGTGTTTTTTTTTAATAAATTTGCATAGTTTGACACACTCTATGGGGTGGAGTAAATTTTTTTCGTAAATTTTATGATAACCGCAGTAAAATACTGAACTGTTCCCTTACAAATTAAAAAAAAAAACTTCGTACGATTTTTCGTTCTTAAGATACAGTGTATCACACTTATCTGTGCATTTCAGTTACCGCCAGCATTAGCACTACCCGATGCGCACCACGGGGAGGTTGCTGGTCGGATTTTGCGCATCATGTATATGTGTGCGTGCGTGAGTGCGCGCGCGCGCGCGCGCGCGCGTGTGTGTGTGTGTGTGTGTGTGTGGTGAGTGGAGTCATGTGGCGGTATGTTTGCACTTTAAAATCGTGTATTTCCGCCTCGTCTTCGGATGACTTCTTGTAAACGTGTACGCATATTGATGGAGGCTCTAATTAAGGCCTGAGGAATTTCCCACCATATTTGATGTAATGCTGCTTCCGATTGTTGCAGATTTGTTGGCGGTTCCTCTAATCTTCGTGATCTTCTTCCCATCATATCCCGTACGTGTTCAATGGGATTCAAATCCGCGCTCATTGATAGATGTGGTAGCATCTCAATGTTGTTTTCTTCGAGGAAGTTAATTGCAATTCTGGCGGTATGTGAGCGAGCGTTGTCCTGCATCAAGATAAAGTTGCGTCCCATTTGACGACGCATCGGAATGACGTGAGGACGTAAAATTTCCTCCACATAACGTACCGCAGTCATTCCCGGAGGTGGTATAGTGACAAGATTCGTGCGTCTATGCGTTGAAATTCCACCCCATACCATAATGGAACCACCACCAAACGCTTGGACAGGCTCGACGTAATTTTGATTATAGCGATGTCTCTGACGACGCTAAACTCGGATCCTTGCATCGGAATTAAAGAGACAAAATCGCGATTCGTCAATGAACAATACGTTGTTCCACTGTCTGGCAATCCAATTTTCATAAGCACGAGCATATTGCAGACGAGAACGTCGATGAACCATAGATAACATTGGAACACGAGCACGAGCCCGCGACCTCAAGTTTCCTTCGTGCAGACGTCTCCTGATCGTTTGATCGCTAATTCGTCTGTGCGGGAGAAGCTCATTCGCAATTCGTCGCGCAATCATTGTTGAATTTCGTATTGCTGCATCGACGATGAGACGATCTTCTCGAACTGACGTTATTCGTCTTCGGCCTTGTCCTCTCCTTCGACTAAAACTCTTCCTTTTGTTGGTAAATCTTCCTGTTTGTTGGTAACGAGTTAAAACTCGACAAATAGAGGACTGATTAACGCACATTCTTCTTGCAACATCGCTCTGGCTCAATCCTTCTTGCAAAAGAGCAACGATTTGCACACACTGAATTTCATTTAAACGAGGCATAGTTACAATTGTGTCGTTTGTTTTTTCAACGGTAACTGGACTGAGTTCAAACTGAAGTAAGTTTAAACTAAAGTTAGCGCTGTACACACTGAATGCAGTACAGCGCTCACTCTAAGTACAGCGCTAACTTCAGTTTAAACTTACATCGGTTTGAACTCACTCAAGGGTAGATTCAAAATCCATTTAAAGGTTCGTAAAGTACAGACTTTACCCTTGAGAATGAAAAAATAAACGTTTATTTTACCTCTACGTGTCACACGGACGGAGATATCGTGATGCGAAATCTGAAATGTTAAAATTTTATGTAAGATACGTCGCCTCAAAAAGTCATCTCCTTTTCATATTTTCGACGGTAGATGGCACTCGTTTATTGCTGTCATTTACCGACTTATTTATCTATAGTTTCATTAGCACTGTATTATATGTCGACATTTCACTGTATAGTTACTTTAATGCTTTAATAAGTCACTTTTAAATTAAAAATGTATAAAAATATGAAACAGGCCGATTGATGTGTGAACATCATTACGTATATATTTATGCCGTTTATACCCTCGTAAATTTGGTAACGACATGAATATATACGCGATGAAGTTCACACGTTAAGCGGTCAAGCGGCCCG